TATTAAACAGCTATGATCTCAGACTGAGAATCTAGCACATCTAAAGGTTAAACAGTTATAATTTATTTCCCCTATCCATACAGGACACTTTTCTCTTTTAACACACATGGGCCATAAGTTTGTCACTTTTTAAAAATAGCATCAGTAAATACCAAAATTCCTATTTTTTTTTCACTTGAGAGCCTTAGTAATTGGCTTACGAATGTTCAGGGAACAATTTGTCTCGTAGTAAAATATACCCATCAAGTCGGGAAAATACAGCCTTTCTGGGCTGTAAAGTCTGGAGAATGCCAGCAGAAAATGGCAAAAGGGACCGGAGAAGTTTAGAAGCTCCACAGGAGGTAGTAAAGTTCAAGCTAACTCTTGAGTCCAGATGGTAACTTGAATTAGATAGGGTAGAGGACAGGCCAACTCCATCAGAAAGAATTTGGGCTGCAGTTAGGCCATCTTTTATAAAAGAAGACAAGGGCTAGGGAAGGTGACAAAAAATGGCAGGCCACAGCTACAGATCTGGTCAACATACAACTTGCAGATAAAATTACAGGAGGACTAGAGGAGTTCCCAGGCCTGCAAAGAGAAAATGAAGGTGAAGCTTCACTTTGTGGAAGGGCCACGGAAGAATATGGCAGAAACTGAACATCCATGTGATGGCAGTAGTGTTCCAGTGAAAGTGGAACAGGTTAGATCAAAGCAAATAGATATGAAGGGAACATACTGCACAGCAGGAACCACTGGTGGAGGCTGCCAGTCAGTGAACTAAATACAGAGTTACCTACTGGGGGATCCAAGGAGCAGGGCCAATCCTCAAACCTTAATGGGTTGAATAAGGTTGGTATAACACTAAATGAGAGAAAGGTATAATCTGTTAAATCCAGATAGCCTACTGGAAACAAACCACAGATTACAACTCACGAACCTTCTAGAAATTAAATTGCATCCCAGTTGTAGAATTGAGCTGTGAAAGGTTAAAATTTGAGATGTTAGCACAACCCAGGGTACCTGTGCAACTATTCATCCTAAATTGGATTTTGAATTAAGTTTAGGAAGGAGAGAGTGAACACGGTATGTGTGTATTGTCATCTCAATCTTTGTACTGTTATTTTATATTCCTAACAGAATGTTCATCCAAAATAAGAGATATTATTCACTCTTTGTGGTAGGGAACTGTTATAATAACAGTAAATATGGACTATTGAACTTAACTTCCAATACCGTATTGTTATATCTGAAACCATTCATGGACTAAAATGGATTTTAACAAGAAAATATAGACCCAAAATGGCTATCATGGTCACCTGACGACAGATCACGGTAACCTTTGGCAGATCCATATGAATGAAGGAAGTCTTCAGCCCTGGAATTACCATTTGTCTAAAGACATTGAAACCAGACATCTGAGCCAGTGTCAAGAAATTTGTTTTGCCAGCTTGATTTATACGTGCATTATAATTTCACACATTGGAAGCTGAAAGTTTCGCCTGCCATTTAGCCAGCTTGAGAAAACAGAGGAATTAGGCTGCAGAATACACACTGAACAACTTTTGAGCAGCAGAGCGGAGAGAAGAAAATTGGATTTCTGACAACAGGAGGTTGAGCTCTTTCTGTCCCCGGCTGTTTCTCTCATCATCTCAGAAAAGTGTCTTTTTTTTTAATGAGAAAAGACAAATTGGAGAAACAACTATGCAGCCATAACTTGAACATTTTTCAGATCTTGCTGCAGATACATTTCAGGGTCTCTATCTCCAGGCAGCAACTGAATTTATATCCACTGTTATTTTGGCTGCATCAGTTCTCTTTTTTTTTTCGAAAAACAAACACATTGGAATTAAACTTTGATCTGTCTTTAAATTATAACCAGGCTCATCTAAAGTCATGATACTGGTTGTAACAATGTGGAGTCGTATTTCAACAGCATTATTATCATGAAATACAGAATTGTTTGAAAGAAGCCCATACAGGTTCCATCAATAAACAAGAAAGCAAAAACTTACTTATTTATAACAAACTTATCATTTGACAAGATTGTTAATTACAAATAAGCAAATTTAAACTATATCCGTCTTTAAATCCAGACACACGCGTTCATTCACAATAGGTTAGATGTGTTTGTACAAATATCGTGGGTGGAAAATAGAGGTAGAAAGGAACAAATTCTGTGGCTGAAGAGTCCCTCCACAAAGGGATGGAGTGAAGCGATCCTCAATTCAATAGCAGGTCAGTTGGAACTTGGTTTTGTTTTGAGTCCAAAATTCTTCTTTTCAGAGTTTTTTTAGTGCTAGTTTTCTTCCACTCGGAGGGTGGTGTGGGAGTTGGGGCTGGAGAGAGGGCAGAAGAGAGGGAGATCTGTCTTGCTTGCCGGCTTTTGAATGTGTATGATAAGCTGTAATGTAAAGCAAATCCAGAAGCCATTGCTGAACAGTTGTTTCTAATCCAGAGACTTTGTTCCATTTTGTGTGTCAAATGTATTGAACAGAGCTTCTCCAAAGGTTACGTGCCCTTTGTAATCAATAAATGGACATTTCACATTTTAACTTATCTTCCAAGTTGTAACAAAAACTAATAGTCCAAACTTCCACTTTCCAGATTTGGCCCTGTTCTTTGGATTCCCCCAGTAGGTAACTCCTGCATTTATCTCACTGATATGATGTCTGGAGGCCTCCACCAGTGGTTTCTGCTGTGCACCGTGTTCCCTTCCATATCTATTTGTTTTGACGTAACCTGTTCCACTGTCACTGGAACGCTACTGCCGTCACACGCATGTTCAGCTTCTGCCATATTCTCCTGTGGCCCTTCCACAAAGTGAAACTCCACTTTCGTTTTCTTTTTGTGGGTCTGGGAACTTCTCTGGTCCTCCTGTAATTTTAACATTAAGTATATTCCAGTTTATTGTTAGAACTCTCGCTGCTTCCCTCTTATCATTTTTGATTTGGAGCTATGAGCTGTAAGTTGAAGGTGACTTGTGGATTGTGAGCAACAGCTTCCTCTTTTGTTTTTTTTATAATAGAACAAACTGATATTTATTTACAGGACTTGGCCTGGAATTAATTGCAGATTGACTCTTGTTCAGATAATACTCAAATTGTTTGCTTGAACGTTGGCAACATGACTATTTCACAGCCCTTTCTTTGCACATACTGACTGACTTCAGCACTGTCTTACAGGCAGCCAGCCTCTGTGTGGGTCATGTTCTCTTACCTTACAGGGTTTTCAGTGCACTGTTACAGACTGTCAGTCTTTGTGGCTTGCATTACTTTTAGCTTAGAGGAAGAGGCAGACAGTTTGCTCCTGAAAAGTGACAATGAACAGTCAAGAGAAAGAAAGGGGCATGTTACTATATGGTGTAATGATATGTGAACGTCACGCTTGCTGCATGTGCTAGCTGCCTTTGTGGCAAATGCACTGCAAGTGTTTCAGGTAAATTGCCATGTGTGAAAATCAAAGGGAAGCAGTCCTTTGAAGTGTGAGGGTGGACTACGGTCAATCAAAGCATGCAGTCAGGACCCTCATCCTATTCCAGTCCATCAGGTTGGCCATGATATTTGCATGATTAATGAAAGGAAAAGTGGAAGATTATGAGAAAAATTGCTCTGAGGCGTAATGGACCAGGCACTATGAATCTCTCTCAACAACGTACTTTAACTGACGAAGGAGAAAATTCTGTCTTGAGGATCACGTATACAATCATACTACTGTTCTAGTCATCAGGGTAGGATATCTGGGAACAAGGTGTTATGATTGCAGCTAATGTTATTGTTGGACAAGCCAGATCCCAGATCAGAAGCTGGCTTGATAGAACATGTTTTTGTTTGGTTTGGTTTTAACAATGTGGTCTCTCAGTTGAACAAAAGCACACAATGCTATTGATCTTGCTTTATGATAAATTTCTGTTTAACTGTTAAAAGAAATAAGACAATAAGATATACAAGTAGGATTAAGCCATTTGGCCTATCGCATCTGCTCCACCATTCAATCATGGCTGGCACGTTTCTCAACCCAATTCTCCCACCTTCTCCAATGATCCCTTTGATCTCTTTACCAATTAAGAACCTATGTATCTCAGTCTTAAATACACTCAATGATGTGGCCTCCTCAGCCTTCTTTGGTAATGCATTCCACAGATGCAGCACCCTCTGACTGGTGAAATGAAGTTAAGATAGAAAAATCTAAACCATCAATTCATAAACCATACCACAGTGCTGTACACTAATGACCCCTCCCTGCCCTGATTGTTCAAAGTTTTTTAAACACACAGTGCAAGTATAGCCTTGTTAATCCCAAAACACTTTGTAAATTGAAAAGAAACAAAACAGCTTTTATATAGTACCCAAAATACATCACTGTATAGTACCTAAAACACCCCACATACACACAATACACCAGAGTCCCTATTATCTAACACCTTGGTGGTCTAAGTCACTTGTAACTTGAACTTTTTAATTTGTAACTGCAGGTAGTTCCAGGAAGAAGCCATCATGCACCTTTTTTTTTTCTACACCTCTCCTACATCTGAGCTTCAATATACTAAGCTTTAAGTAACCACTTCAGGGTTTTATCCCAACAGTCCTGGTCTGGGACTAACACTACTCTTCACACTAAGGAGCTAACTCCATTCTACCATTCCCTTCTCAGAAACACTAATCCATATAACCATCCGCACGAACGGTTCCCAGGAACTGAGAAAACTTACTCCCATCGATTGCTAGTTGCCAGAGAATTCCAGTTAATGAGGTTCCAGATAATTGGGACTTTACTGTAGTCGTTAACTCCAGACACACCCACACAACCCACCTGTTACTAATTTGAAAACCAGAAACTCAAACTTTAAGAAATGAAAATTCCACAGTTACGTCACAAGTCCAAAATCATTCTAGTCAATAGGATGTGATTCAGAGGGAAAGGTTGAATTCTATTTAAATTTGCTACTTATAAAATTACGTGTCAGTTTTTAAGTACAGTGGTATGTCACTTCTAGGCAAAATAATCATTTCTTTCTGTTGTAGGAACCTAGAATTGTCATCAAAGATTTGAAAGTAAACTTCAACGATATTATAGAAGGAAAGGTATGTCACAAATCTATTGTCTGCTAACATTAGTTTGACAATCTGATGTGTTACAGTTTTGACAAGATACATTAGTTTGGTGTGTTCTGAAAAATGTAAACTGCATTTTGAGCATAGGCACCGTATAATTCCAAGGCATGAACATTTTCTGAAAACAATATTTTTATAGTACATGGAGAACATTGAGCCTACCGTGTCTGCTGGCTTATTGTTCGAATGATTTAAAGTTAGTTTAAGCTCATAGCTGTTTACTTTCCAAATACTTATCAAATTTCACTTCAAAAGAGCAATAGTCTAGGGGTGAAATTGTGTACCTTCTCCCATGGTGAGTTTAATGACTTGGGGAGGCACTTAATCAGGCAAGAAGGTGGTGGCTGGGGACCCTGCCATTTTCTTACCCAATCAGGTCCTTGGCAGGATGACTTAGTCGCAGTTTTCCTGGCCAACTGCCAATTGAAGCCATAAGTGGTAGTCTGTGACCGGCTAGCATTCTTGTTGTCTGTGACTTCTTGCCCGTGAGGCTGTTGATGCTAAGGATGCCTTTGGCCGTGTCAAGTACTTGAGTATAATACAAAATACAATGGGTTTTCTTTAAAAGAGGTGGTGCAGGTGTCTTGCCAACAGCCAAGACTCCTATTGCCTGCGCAAGATTCTGTCCTAGGTCTCAACCACTTCCTGTATGTAAATAAATCTCTTCTAACCCAATCCTGACTCTGATAGCGATCTTTGTAAATTAATAACCCCTTATTGATCTACCACAAAGAGGAAATCACTTTCCCTTTTCAATCGTTCTTTCCATAATTCAAAAAGAGACTATTAAATCCTCTCCGAGATAGTAGGAACTGCCAATGCTAGAGAATCTGAGATAACAAGGTGTAGAGCTGGATGAACATAGCAGACCAAGCAGCATCAGAGGAGCAGGAAAGCTGACGTTTCCGGTCTAGATCCTTCTTCAGAAAATGAACCTTCTCAGACCTTTTCTGAAGAAGGGTCCAGCTTTCCTGCTCCTCTGATGCTGCTTGGCCTGCTGTGTTCATCCAGCTCTACACCTTGTTATCCTATATTAAATCCTCTGTTTGCTTTTTCTGCTTTGGTTCTCATAACTCCTCCTGACTACTGATTTCCATCCCTTACGTCACCTGGCTAAATTGTATACCGTATGTGTCTTTTTATAATCAGATGCCCAAAATTGTAAACTTTAACATAGTTAACTTATTAATTTGGGCTTAGTTTATATTTTGCATCAATTCATAATCTTTCTTTGCTTTTCTACTCTATGCCCAAATTAAAAGCTCAAATTCTAGGGGCCTTTTTATCCTTTTGTCAGAAAGTGTTACTTTTGAACCACAACAGCAGAAAGTCAGCGTGAAATGTTTCACAGGAGTATAATCGTCAAATATCGGTGTTGAGCTAGAGAAGTAGTTACTTGGACAGTTGTAGTTTAAGTGGTGTTTTGAATGAGGAGGATGAGTTGGAAAAGTTTAGGGAAGGATTTCTCAAACTGCGGCCCAAGCTCATTAAAGACTTGGCTAGCATTGGTGGGAATGAAGAAAGTAAGAGATGCGTAAAAGGCCAAAGCTGGAATAATATAGAAATTTTGAAAGATCATAGATGTGGAGGATGTTTGAGATATAAACTTAAGGAATTCTGTTTATCTACACTATTCAATCTCTTTCTTTGGAGTGTATACTCTTTCTACCTCTCTAATGTTTTTATATTTGATGTTGAATGTCGGCTTTGACCCAATGGTAGCCTCTTAATCAGGAAATTAATGGATTGAAGCCAGTGATCTGAGTTTAAATGTAGGATGTCACATAAGTGCAATAATGAAGATGCTGCAGTTTGGGTGTGTGTCCTTTCGATGTCTTTCAATGTTTCATTGAACCGAAACCCCATCTGGCTGCTGAGATGGATGAAAAAGCTTGAATCGTTTGAAGAAAAGTGAAAAAGTCATCCTCATCAGGATGTGTCTGTTAACCAGTTTCCCTAAATTACATGCTAACTTATTTAATTGCAGTTTGGGGACCTTGAGTTCTGTAAATTGGTTGCTATCTTGCCCTACATTACAACTGCACCCATACTTCTTAATTGACTCTGTGGTAGTTTGATATGTCCTGAATGCATGAAAGGCACTATACCAATATAAGCTCCATCTTATACATTTCATCTTTCTCATATCTCACCTCTGCTTTTTCATATCAAAACTGTTTTTTTTAAATGTCATTGTCTTTTTTTTGTCTCTTACTCAAACCTTTTTCTACAAGTTAGAACTTTGTTAACCGATATTTTATCCATCTCGCGTAATTATTTCTTATAGCCACTCCACTGTGTGATCTGCTAGTTATTCCATCCAATTCACCTGAGCTGACCTGGGTCCCCTTCATCTCATTTCTTGAGAAACACTTCTGTTTTCATTATGCACCTCACTATTTTATGACTGTTGTTTCTCAAGTATAATCCTTTCTTTTGCCCACTTCACGTGGTTTATTGTCCAGGTCCAGGATTTCATCTTGTGGATTTTCATCAATGAAGTAGCCCTCATTCGTTCTAAGAATTGTCACATATATTGACCATAGAGTCTTCTCTTATCCAAGCTGATGTGGAAATTGTGGTCCTTCATTAGTAAAATTCTATTAAAGTTAGAGTTTTCAGCTGCCTAGGATTCCCTCAAGTGATACAAGGGCTTTTTCTGCTGTAGAAGTATGTAAGAACATCCCTGAACAAGTTGATTAGAAGATATCTACAGGCATAAAAACAAACTAAAAAATCTGCCATTTCTGTGGAAGGTTCACTGGACCTGAAACGCCAACACTGGTTTCTCTTCGCAGATGCCGCTAGACCTGCTCAGCTTTTCCCGCAACTTCTGTTTTTCTGATTAACAGCATCCACAGTTCTTTTGGTTTTTATATGCCATTTTACATGCTCTATTGGTGTAAGTGATCAGGCCTCAGAACTTGTTGGATTAGGATCTCTTCAGGCCCACAACCAGTCAAATTTGTGCACATTTAGTAATTGATCCTGGGACTGTCAAATCTGAATTCACTCTATGGCTACCATTGCTGCCTCGAAGCTTGCAATCTTACTTCCTCACCCTGTGATTCCACCAGGCCTCAAAACCCAGTTAGAAATTCCTACTCAAGTAGTCTTTATGGACTGAAAAATGTATCAGAAATTTTAAGAAAGGTTGTTTTGATAGGAATTATCCAATCAGACAATGAACAGTCTGTTCACTTTCTAGTTGACTTGTGGATGATGGATCACAATGACGGTGAGCATGATAGACAGCCAGTTGTGGGAGGGTGATTAGGAGCTGCTGGCCCCAACGTGATATCATATTTTCTTGTTCTGAAATTACATCTAATTACTATTGACAACCCCAACTGTATTATGTAATATTGAAACATATGCATTGTCAAACAGAAGGGCTTAGAAGAAGTAGCTTTTGGAACAGACATGTAGGATCCTAAAGCCCTAAGATACTGAGCTCAAACAGTAAGAGATTTGAATCTCCAACCTACCACAATTGGATCTGATATATTACATACATGTTAGCTTTTATTGTCTTTGTATACTATTAGATATACAGTGTAGTAAATAAATCTATAGTGTAGTAAATCTATAATGCTTAACTTTTTTCTTGTTTAGAATCTGGCTAATTTGAGGACAAGATTAAAATTAATACTGTCCTTATTCTCAGTAACGTATACAGTTCTTGGTTTGTTACAAGATTGCTTGATCTAAGATACATTTCATACAAACTTATCTGTATTTTGATTTAGAGTCACACTGCAAAACGTGTCAGCTTGTAATGCAGGCATCTGAGCATCTCTCCACTGCCTACTGGTACAGAAAATTTTGAAATTCATTTTGGTTTATTTTCTGTTTAGGATGAGTGGAGTGTGCAAGACAAAATTTCTCAAAGGGTTTTACGCAGATTGCTGGACCATATTGCTCTGCGGTCATTTATCATTGCACTGCTTATTGGAAGCTGTATTGCCATCAGTTGTCAGACAGACCCTGCTATCTCAGAGGTATGAACTCAGCCCCTTAGATGCATTGCTCGTTTTTGTATCTGGTATACGTGATTCAATAATTTAGACAACATGAGTTCAAATCTTGTAATAGTGATTTGAATTCAGTTTTTAAAAATGGAACATTTGGTACAGACTGTAAAAATAGCAATATATAGATGACTTCTAATAAAGACAGCAGTATCTGTAATCAATATTCTTTTGAGCCGAGTTCACAACAAGTCTATCATTTCCCTTCGGTGATGCTGATAATGTACAGAAGGATGAAATGCTGGATCCAAGAACCTTGTACTGTAAAAATAGATACAAAAGGTAAGTAAGTTAGATGGGGAAACATTCAGAATTGTTAAGATTGAAACACAAACTTCCAGAACATAGGCTTTTTATGACAGCAGGGGTTAATGTAAGAAATATTATGGATTTCTATAATATAGAGGCAACATGCTGCTAAATGAGCATGCATTAAATGTTATTTACAGCAAGGTTATGGTTGTGGACAAAAGCAATGACAGGAAATAATGAGGTGGTGAGAAAAGGCATGGGCCTGGTTTCTCATCTTTGGCAGTCAATTTGAACAATGGGGTAGCTGTAAAACTTCACACAGCTGTGCATTCAGCAGTAAATAGACTGTAGAGGAAATGGTATAGTTATACAGTGTTTTCACTTAGAAAGAAAGAGATCGGTTCTTTCTTTTGAGACTGAATGGCTTAATCAGGCTTGGGCAAATTGCCTTCACAGGTCTTTATTAAATCAGTGCATGTGGGACTAATATGCACTACTCTATATGGGTGTTTAAGTTAAATGTTTGTCAATGACAAATGAAGTGAATTTTCTTTCGTAATGATAGTGGAACTGTCAACACTTTCTATCATTAGTTCTCTGAAACTGGCAGCAAACTCTGGAGTCCACACATGCCCATTGAAATGTGAAAATCTAGAATTCCTCTCCGTATTAATTGTTGAGGTCTCCCTGGAAAGCAGTCAATTAGTAATCATTGAACTGATGAGAATATCCATTCTTACACATTGTCTTTGCTGTAAACACCTTTTTTTAAAAAATCTTCACTTATTAAAACTTGATGTAATTGGCATTTTAATGGTATTATAAGTTTATAATTACTGCTAAACAGCTATACTGACTCTGAAGGAATAATTTAATATCTTTTGAATAGCAAACTTATCCTATCTGAAAAGTTTCACTTTTTTAAAATTAAAGTTTGTTTATGACATTTAAGTTCTACGTTAATCCCATGTGTACATTTCAATCCTTTATTTTGCTATTTGTAAAATTCACAACATTGTCCTTGATGTTTATGAAGATTACATTGGTTTTAAGGTGAAATATATTTCTTTTTGTACCCAGTTGTACCGCATAAGCTGTTAATCTCTAAATGCTTTTTAAAATTTAACTCATATTTCTAATCAACCTGTTCAGAGATGTTATTACACACCTCTGGAGCAGGTGGGACTTGAACCTGGGTCTCCCAGTCCATTTGTGGAAACAGGTGTTCCAATGGTTCCTATATTTGACTATTATAATAGTGGCTACGTTAAAATCTGCATAGGAGCAAGAGTGGGCTCAAAACAATCCGAGGATCACTGAGGAGCAATTCCAGATGCAAATCAGTTATTTAGAGAGAGAGAGAGTGAGGAGCATATTCCGTATAGGAATACTTCTGGTAACTGATGCTGTGCAGTCTGCTACTTATGTGTTGTTGTGGCAGAAGTTGTTCGAGGAGCTATTTAGTAGCAGTATGCAGTTAAGACTCTGGTAGAGGAGTCAATAGACCTGAAATATTAATTCTGACTTCTCTGCACAGATGCTGCCAGACCTACTGAGATTTTCCAGCAATTTCTGATTTTGTTTCTGATTTCCAGCATCTGCAGTTCTTTCAGGTTCTTTTTAAAACTCGGAGGTAGTTGTGGGAGCCAATAGGTACGTGAAGTTTTAGGTCTAGGGGTTTGTAAAAGTCTTGTGAGCTGTGAGGGGCTCATAGAAGCCTTTCAACACATTAATAGTCCAGTGCAAAAGAGTGGGGCAAAAGAAGTCTACAAACATTAATCTTGCTTAGTTGCACCTAACAAATAGAACTAGGGGAAACACCAGGCCACATCAAACTTAGTGAACCTTGCTGTCTCTGGATAAGCTGAAATTGAGCCCATGAATGGATGATGCAGTGCAGTTTCCAGAATCTAGGCAGCGCAGTCCAAATAGGAGAATGAAGTACCAGCATGTATGCTGTTATTGGGGGAGACTTTACAGCAGCTTTTGATGGAGTTCTGAAACGGGGTCTTAGAAACTGAAGAATTGGGATCCTTAATAAAATCTTAATGAGATCTGATGACCCACACGGTCACTAGCATCTGAGGGGTTGCTGTGAGGGATCTGTCTTGACGAGAAATTTGCTGTGGTCTGTTACCCATGTTAACCTCAGGTTAACAGGACGTTAGCATATAATATGTATATACATTTTAGATTCTATTACCGTTGAAACCATGTATAATAAAATTTACATTTACATACTCAAGACTGAGGAATTTTGTGACTTTAGTCTCTTCGTAAGTACTTGGCGTCAGGCAAAAAGTAATATTATTATCTCTCTCTTTCACCTGCACTTTACATTTATCTGAAATAGGTTTACAAAATCTGCAGACAGCTGCTCAAAATAGCTGGTGTATTTAATGTGTCATAAACAGTTCCACTGAAATGGACTTGAGTGGTAATGCCAAATTTGACAGATATAGGCTTAATTTGTTCAAGGAATGTCATTGTTACTGGTTAGGCCAACATGGTGATGAGCTAACAAGGCGTAGAGCTGGATGAACAAAGCAGGCCAGGCAGCATCAGAGGAGCAGGAAAGCTGAC